ACCTTCAGGATGTCAGAACAGGCTTAATGTGTCTCTGAACACAAGGGGATTGACAGACTTCTACGTGAAGGCTACCCAAAAGGATGATTTGAGAACTAGCATGACATGAGGGTTTTTATTAGATTAGAAAATCTGAAGAGTTTCTAACATTTAAAATGGGTTGGTTGTGGCTTAACATTAATATTTAACGTGACTCAGCTAGAAGAATTCTCAGGTCACTTGAGAGTTAAAAATAGCATTTTAAGTCAACAGAAACAATGAATAAATGAAGTGTCTCATCACGACCAGAAAGATGTTTATAGTTTGCTAAGTCCCTGCTTTGCATAGCAGGCCCCGTGGAATCCCTATTTCTCCGGCAGAGAGAACAAAATTCCTTTTAAGAACTCAATCCTTGACACAATTTACATTTTTTAAGCAAGGTAATGCATACTTGTCTTCTCAAAGGCTTATTATGTTGTTTAAAATGTATAACGTATGAATATTAAATCACAAGAACTATAGCAAATAATATCACCCAATTGTCATGTAGATTTTCTTCCAAGGAAAAGAACTAAAAATATACACAAATCCACTCAAATTACCCAGGCTATATTGGGTTCTTTTGGAATTTTTTAAAAACTTATTTTATATTTAACCCATATGCTTCTCATGTGATTTTCCTTTTTATGGAAATGCAATATCTGTTTCAGGCATTTGGAAGAAACTGGGTCTATGATGATATGGGAAGGGAAACAGTATTTAATAGTTCCATTCTGAATCATGCTTGAAAATTACTTAGAATGGCTGACAAATGAAACCCTTCCAAAATTAGAAGAGAAGGAAGGGAAGTGGGGCTAAACTAAAAGACATAGTGAACAAATTTTTCTTATATTTTGAAACAATGCATTGACCTTTAACATCAATGAATGCTGAATTTTATTACCAAATAACTGAATTAAAAAATATTTTTAACTTATAGAATCAGTGAGCTAATACCTGCCCTTATGATACTTAGCTAAAAGTCAAACCCAAGTTAGTGGATGGCATTGCAACAGGAGAGAGAAGAAAGTTAGAAACAGAGGACTGTCCTTTGCTCAGGGGGAGGGGAGGAAGGGGAAGAAAACTGGGGTAAGAGAACGTTTATCTGTCTTTCAGGATGGAAGTGGATGGTCAAGAATAGTCATTTCAGGACAGGGTGGTGCCCAGGGATGGGAGACCAAGGGTGGGGGACGTGGGAGTCAGGCGTGTGCCCTCATTCTCCAATGCCCTTGGCTCCCAGGCATTAGCCTAGGTAAGTCTATGCCACTTGGATGGACCAGCGCATCCTTTTTTCTGCCATCTCTGCCTCCTCTGCCCAGGACACCTGAGTCTGCCCAGGACAGATAGCGGCCATCCTTCCATCCCCTGCCTGGCCCCCTGCTTCCCTGAACAGACCTAAGAGGTAGGAGGCTGAGAGTGAGTTAGGGGACAAACAGGAAGCTATGGGCTCTTATTCCTTTAGTTATTCATGACTGGATGGATGGAGAAATGAATAAATGAATGAGTTTATGAACATTTATTCATTTATACTGTGAGTAAGCTGCCATGGGAGAGACTAGAAAGATCGGGAGTGGTGAAGGTCACGGCAATTCCTACCAACTAACTGTTCGTGGCTGCCTGGAGATGGCTGTTGATAAAGGTATGAGTGTGCTGGGCTCGGTGAGAAAGATGCCAGGACGAATTACAAGGGGCTGCCAAGGGCACGGAAGGGGAGAGTGGCCACCCAGGCAGCCAACGTGCATCCCTGGTTTAGGAAGCAGCATTTGAGCTGGGACTTGAAGGTCAGGAGGAGCTGGGTGCTCTGGAAAAGGGGACCGTGCGGGGACAGGGTGGCCACACTCGGGGAAGCCTGTTACAGTGCAGAGGCAGGAAAGTGAGAGATTCCCACTAAAAATGGCTGAGGCTGGCGTTGGCCAAACTTTGGTGGGTGAGCAGGTGAAGAGGCTGCAGGTTAGGGGGGCTGGCCATGGAGGGCCTTGCTTTCTCAAATTATTGATTCTTTTTGTGTTGTCCATTCCCTAGCACCAATCCCTAATTGTTTTCCAAGCTTTTCCAAGTCTCCATGTCTCAGTGGACCCTCAATAAAGATTTGATAGAGAATCATGTAGCTGGTGCTCACGAAGAATCGTTGTGGGCCCTGCGAACACACACCTCTCTCCAGTTCAGAAGTGTCTGAACCAATTAAGTGATCTCAGGAGCCAGAAGCAAGTCACAGGCCAACTAGTGATACATTAATCATAGGAAGTTGTTTTTTCACATAACATCATTTTCTAGACACAGAATTCTCCAAACTCCAGGTGAAAGGGCTTATAACCAAGGTAACCACCATCACGTCATCAGGATAATTTAAGACGTAAATCAAGACATGGTTACGCAAAACAAAACCACAAGTATGTTTTCCCCTTTCATTGGTTTTTGCTGATAACCCTCCTTGTGCTTTTAGAGCTGTGACACTGCTAACACAGACTTAGCGTCGGGTACTATTTTTTTTTTTTTTCTTGCGTTATGCGGGCCTCTCACTGTTGTGGCCTCTCCCATTTGCGGAGCACAGGCTCCGGACACGCAGGCTCAGCGGCCATGGCCCACGGGCCCAGCCGCTCCGCGGCACGCGGGATCCTCCCGAAACGGGGCACGAACCCGCGTCCCCTCCATCGGCAGGCGGACTCTCAAGCACTGCGCCACCAGGGAAGCCCCGGGTACTATTTTTGAAAGATAGGCTTGTGGAGCTGTTTGAAGAACAATCATCCTCTTCAAAAGGAAGCTGGATGCAAAGGAGATACTTTTCCCTACTTAGGTGGTGCCCAACCCTGTCATTTCTGCAGAAACCACTTGATTTGGTTGTAAGTTTTTTTCTTCTTCAATACTCACATATAAAAATCCACAAGCCAATAAAAAGGTCACCTCCCTCAAGTCCTGAGAGCACAGTGGCTTTCAGGAGATCATGTAGAATTAACCCCACCCAAGCTCCATCCTCTTTCCCACATTTTATAGAAGATAAACTATGACAATTAAAAAAAAAAAGCAATAATGAGAAAATGCTATTTTGACCAGGAATCAGAAGGCCTGTTTATGTAGAAGTAATTATGGAGAGACCTGCACAGCCTCGAAAATCAGTCTGGCTGCTAATTCTCCTCAGGCGAACATGAATTTGGCCCACTTGCTGGCAACTCTCTACGGATGTTCTATATGGCTGAGCACCAGATCAAGACAGAAAAAGCAGTGTAAACCTTTTGCAAATTAATACCACTTAGTTGATGACACACTTTTTTTTTTTTTCTTCTTTCCATACCTAGATGTTTAGTGCTGCAGAAAAGAAAGATAAAAAAAAGCAGAGATGGGCACTGCTTTAACTCCTTACAGGAGAGCTCGGATCCGCCCTTTTGGTTTCAAGACACTAAGAAAAAATTGATCTCTTTCACTTTGGCCAGTGCTGTTCTTCCAAGAACTGCTGCTGCTTTTCACACAGCAGCAAACATCACCTTCCTGATGTTAGCAACTGAAAAACAGGTCTGTCCCCTGGCAGTGTCACGAGACGTGGCAGCTGCCAAACTGAGGTTCTGCCTCCCTCCTCCCCACACCCCCAAATACTCGTGTTCTCTCTGTGTGTGCAACCAGTGGGAAGAAAATTAACCTGTAGAAAAGAAAGAGAACAATACAAACGAACCATAGAGCCAAACTTTTAGACACAGAAATTACTTAAAATCTTTGAAAAAATCAGTTGAGGTCTTCTGGAGGAAAAACACATCAGTTCTTTGAAAAATATCCCCAAGCCCACCTCCTCCTTTCAGTTTGACTGAGAACTGATAGAGAATTTACACCTCAGTGAATCTGTGTAGTTGCAGCAAAACCACAAACCTTGGAGAACAGATTCAAATTCATTGTTCTACCCAATAAGCCAGGAGCCACCATCAGCATGGGGCAAAACAGTCTCCATTTAGGGCCCGATTGAGCTACCTCATGGTTATAAAATAATTCAAAGACCAGCTGCTAGACCCGGTGGCAGTCTAAATAAAGAGACAGGAAAGAAGAAGAAAAAGCATCCCAGGATAAAGGTGGTCCATGAACGGGCTTTGTGGTTTTAGAGTTTGGGAGGATTCTGTGAAGCCCCTTAAGTAGTACATATGCACATGTTCATTTCTCTGGAGAGAGGGTCTATAGCTTTCAGAAAATTCTCAGAGATCCCTGACCACCCACTTCCCATAATACAGCAAATAATCCCCGGAACCAGAGGAAGCCCTCACCATCAGCAGAAAAGTTCCCTGTAACTACATAATAAAACAGAGGATGTTTTACCTTCGCAGAAAAAAGTTATAATATTACAACCGGTGGGCTATTCACACTCAAGCAGTGGTGCAGCAATAAATCTCTATAATGATTTTAAATTGTAAAACCATCCTCCTGGTTCCATAAATATATCCTATGTAGTGTTCATAAAAGGGGCTTCTCATAAAAAGCATCAAAGGACAGCCACTGCCTCATTAATTTGGCCCAGAATCAACAACACTCAATAAATATTAATTAATCAATGATTAACTGAACAATTTTGTTTGTTGTCCTGAAATTTATAAGAGCTTTTCTAGGGGGAAATTTGAGGCCTAGGTCGCTTTAAAGAAAAAACCCAAACCCAGAAATCTGAGGGAATGCCTTGACTTCAGCCAGTCCTGCGGTCAATGTTGGCATTGTCTTCAGGGGTCAATGCGGGGATTTGAGGTCTAATGCCATTGTGAGAAGCCTGAATGCAAAAGGGCATGGGGCACGTATAAACCAAGAGAGAGAGCCCCAGGGGTACAATGCACAAACCCAACATGAGGACTGACTCAAAACCCAGCCTGTAAAGAAGCTTATCAGGAGGAAATGCTCAAGCTGAACTTTTCCCATGTTAGCGTCTCTCTTTCCCGAATGGCACGTGACACTTGTCCCCAGATACTGCACAGAGACCAGGCCTTTTTGCTCAGAAGGGAGAAACCAGCAGAGTCACTTACCTGATGCAGGTGGCTGGTCACTGGAAGGGCCTCCATAGCCAGGACCTCCCCTCACGGAGCTGGGAAGCCGTGCATCAGCCCCATCCATGGGCTGGCCTCCCACCTCTGCCCCATCAGCTGCTTCGGGAGGAAGGCCCATGCCATAGGCACTCTGGGGCAAGGGTCCACTTTGGGGGCAACCCATCAGGGGTTCCCGGTCCTCCCCAGCAGGGTTCCTGCAGCCTGCACAGCCATCTGCAGAGTTGGAGCTGGCTGCCCAGTGGGGGTAATTGCCACCCTCCACTTCTCTTTGCAAGTACTTTTCGGAGGACATAGGAATCCAGTCAGTCCTGCACAGAGGCTCAGCGAAGTGGCAGCTTTCGGAATCCACCAAGCTCTCTGTCCCAGTGAAGCACTGGCTTAGACTGTCATTCTCTCCCACCTCCAGGGGTTCAGGGAAAGGCGGTGTGGATGTGCTTCCAGGCTGAGTGAAGAACAATATAGAGTCTGGGGTCCGGGGGGGTCTGTCCACGTATTCGTCTTCTGTGGGAATCTGCCTGAAGGCATCCCCCTCAATCTCGCTGACCAGGGTGAGCATCCTGGCATCTTCTCCCGGCACACAGGGACCGCCACCTGCACACGCACCTCCACTGTCAGGACAGCACATATCTTCAGAAAACATCTTCTGTTCCAGAGTCAGCAGTAAGACACCCTCACAGATTTCACGCTGACTAGGGGCTTCCACATGAGTGCAGCTAAGATTGCTGCCTGAGGACTCCTGCTGATTTAAATTCAGAAGGCAGAGCATTAATCCAGCGATATTAGAACATGGGTCTGTTAAACGTGGCTGAAAATGGTGCTTATAGTAATTATTTCCACCATAACAAGTACAGATGGAATACTCACTATGTCGCTTTATTTGGGTTATTTAAGATTAGGGGGTGGGGAGAACCCTCAGATAGAGTACAACCAGAATCAGATGAATCTAACTGCATTTCCGACGGGATAGCATGTTTACACTGAAGCAAGGGGGAGAGCTGACCCAAATAACTTTAGAACACAGGATTTTGTCTATACCCTCAATCTAAATTTTTAAAAAACCCTGTAAACAAATATTGAACTCTGGTTAGTAGCTTTGCTTTTTGCTGTGGTATGGCTTAGTGATTCTGAAACTACTTTCTGTGTATTCTGGAACTGAGTAAATATACTGAGAATAATAGGAGCTGGGTTTCTTACTGTTGGAAAAGGGAAGATTCAAATACAGCTAAAGAAAGACTACAATAAATCCTGTAGTGTTGGGACCAGAATTGGAGAAATCAGTATGAGCTCAAGGTTTACAATTTGTATGTCTTTGGGGACTTCCCTGGTGGCACAGTGGTTAAGAATCCGCCTGCCAATGCAGTGAACACAGGTTTGAGCCCTGGTCCGGGAAGATCCCACACGCCACGGAGCAACTAAGCCCGTGCGCCACAACTACTGAGGTCGCAAGCCACAACTACTGAAGGCCGCGTGCCTAGAGCCCGTGCTCCGCAACAAGAGAGGCCACCACTATGAGAAGCCCGAGCACCGCAACGAAGAGTAGCCCCGGCTCGCCGCAACTAGAGAAGGCTTGCGTGCAGCAACGAAGACCCAACACAGCCAAAAATAAATAAATAAATATTTTAAAATGTATATATCTTTATACTTAAGAACCTAGACCTAAAGGATATAATGGGATAATTAATGAAATTTTAAGATCAAATGTAAATTATTGATATATAATAGTATTGTACCACTACTAAATTTTTTGATTTTGATAAAGGTACTATGGGTATATAAGAGAATGTCCTTGTTCTTAAGAAATTCACATGAGTATTTAAGGGCAGAGGAACATGATGTCTGCCACACACTCTAAAATGGTTCAAGAGGGCTTCCCTGGTAGCACAGTGGTTAAGAATCCACCTGCCAATGCAGGGGACACAGGTTCGAGCCCTGGTCCAGGAAGATCCCACATGCCGGGGAGCGAGTAAGTCCATGCGCCACAGCTACTGAGACTGTGCTCTAGAGCCCATGAGCCACAGCTACTGAAGCCCACACGCCTAGAGCCCATGCTCTGCAACAAGAGAATCCACCGCAATGAGAAGGCCGCGCACCGCAACGAAGAGTAGCCCCCCACTAGCCATAACCAGAGAAAGCCGCGCGCAGCAGCAAAGACCCAACGCAGCCAAAAAATAAATTAATTAAATAAATAAATTTTAAAAAAATGGTTCAAGAGAAAAAATATACATATGCATATACAAACGTACAGATAGCAAATAATAAAGCAATGTGAAAATATAAACAATCGGTGGATCTGAGTATAGGGCAGGTGGAAGTTTTTTGTACTATCTCACTGCTTTCCTACAATTCTGAAGTTATACCAAAATTAAAAGCCACCAAAATAACTACAGAGTACAGGAATGTGACTGCTCTTCCCTCCTAGGAATCTGTACTAGGCAATAGAGATTGGCACTACAATAATAATATAAATACATGGGCAGAGAGATGACAGAAATGGAATGAAATACAAAGAAAACAGCATTTAGGATGACCACTGACTTGGGCTTTGGGTTACTCTGTGGGGATCAATCCTGGGATTTGAGGTTCCATCCTCTCAACGAAGTACCCATTCACAATTTGACTCAATATTTCACTAATAATAGTTATAACAGCCAATTTTTTTTTTTTTTTTTGGCCTCATGCACTCGGCTTTGTGGGATGTTAGTTCCCCAACCAGGGATGGAACCCGGGCCCTGACAGTGAAAGCGCCGAGTCCTAACCACTGGACCATCAGCTCATGCACTGCTTTGTGGGATGTTAGTTCCCCAACCAGGGATGGAACCCGGGCCCTGACAGTGAAAGCGCCGAGTCCTAACCACTGGACCATCAGGGAATTCCCCCAAACTGTTAACAGTACTTAAAGGAGGCACTTAAGACTTTTAAATTTACCTTATTTCCACTTAGGCGGCCGCAAGCTTCATTGACCCAGTGCCACAAATTAGCTAGAAAAACAAAGTAAGGATAAGCGCTTCATATCATTATTTCCTATTTCTAATTCAGTATTATTGACCACTATGTCAGATCAATATTGTCTTTAAACAAAATCGTCTGCAAATCTGAGAGTGAAACATTTAAAAGAAAATCAATCAATTTAAAGACTAAAGGCATCTTCCTCCTCCTATCAAAAACAGAAATTTTTGATCTATGTAAAGCCAAACAAGATGCCCTAATGTTCCACTGAATACCTTCAGGCACATCTGAGGGCTGTCAGAGCTGCTGTTTTGACTATAGACATTCTCATGCCCTTAGCAATTTTTCTTTGACTATTAGGGACCCTGTTAGGTATTGCAGGGGAACAAAGGTGACGTGGGTCTAGGGGACTTAGCACAAATATATGTATGATAAAAGTAAAGTGCACGCCAGAATGCTGTGTCAGGCCCCACTGAATTCCAGCGGGCCCCGAATCCTTTTCCCCTACACCCTGCTGCTTCTCAGAAGAAAGAAGAGTATGTTCTGTGGCATGTACAAAGTATATCTTCCTTAACTTTTTAAAATAGAACTGATGAAACTTAAAAGGTCAAATCTGTGAATTAAAAAAATCTATGAATGTATATAATACAAAGGTAAAATTTTATCCCACGTCCACTGAGTATCTGATGTTGAATTCACTATAAAGACTAAAGCTAAGAGGTTGTCCATTTTCCACTGGAAGATAATGACGTCATCATAATAGGTAATGATGCCTCTTATGTGACCTTGCCTGGTCTATTTAACCTCTCTGAGCCTCAGTTTCCACATCATAAAACAGGGGAAATAATAATGCCTCCCTCTCAGTGCTGTTGTGGAGACTTAGGACATGTAAAATATGTAGAGCAGTGCTGGCACATGATAAATATTTAATATGTCAGTTACGACTATCATCATCATCACTTTAAAATTATATAAAAAAAGATACTCCACATAAAAGGAAAGTTGCAGCTCTTTCCTTTCAGGGATCAGGAGTAGACAATTACAGATGATACTAAAAATAACATTTGTACACAGAGGTGGTAATTACTCCTAACTACTATGATAATCTCTCTCCTGGTTGATTGCAAAAGCCCTCCTTACTGGTGGGTCTGCATCCACTCTTTCTGTACCCCCCAAATTTGTTTTAATTACTAAAATAGCCAAATACGAAAACCACAGGGTTGTTCTGCCTCCCTCTGCTCAGGATGGGAGCATATTTCTTAGCAGTTTCATGTCACACTGGTTCTGACTTTCTACTCCAGCTGCGCTAACCTTCCAATCCCCCCAACTTGCTCTGCTCCCTCCAATCGTGCAATTCTCTTTGCATGGAATGCTTTTGATTCTCCTTAGCTCCCCTTGGGCTAGTTCATTCCAACTTGTCTTTCAGATCTCAGGTCCCCTGACTCTGCCCTGGGAGGCCCTGGCTGACCCTGAGGCTGGACAGGCAACTCTGTCACCCCTGGAGCTCTTGCACCTCCCTTTCCACACTCAGCCTCATTCTATGGGCCAATCCCTGCCTTGCTCACAGAGAAGCTTCTTCCATTAGGGCACTGGCTCTGTTTGTGTTGCTCAGTATTGAGACCCCAGTGTCTGTCCAGTCCCTGGTGGCCAAAAAACATGTGTTGAATGAAGGGATGAAGAAAAAGCTGACAGTCACACATCCCGACTCAGTGATGGGCAGGCCCATTGCCTTTGCCATTGGTAAGATATGGCCAAAAGAGATTATCACAGAGAAAAAAACTAAAGAATAAAACACTGGGAGTCTGTTTATCTCATGAAAACATGGCTATATGAGTGAGCAATCCATCAGCATGTCTGAACATGCATTATTCAGATCCCCAGTTCTGATGTTGGGGAGGTGCAGTTGCATTAAATAACAGTATTCAACAATGATAGGCTTTTTAAAAAGTTAATTCCAACTTTTCCTCTTCAAATACTCTCTGCTTATCACTGGCATCGTCAGTCACCATCTTCCCTCTTTCATCTTTTGATTGCCCAATGTTACATTAGAGGATGGAATGTTAATGGAAATAGGAAGATATGCAGGATTTCATGAAGTCTATGGATGTGACTGTGAGAGAACTGATGGAATCACGGCAAAGCAAAGGTGGACAAAACAAGTGAGCAAGTGAAAATGGGAAAGGATGGTGAGACCACAGGTGCTTCAAAAGACAATGATGTGCACTAGGTTTAGGAAACGTAGTGAAGCCTTGAACAGTTTCTTAAAAATTATACTTTGTAGCTTTGTAGTATAAAAGTCAAACAGGATGTGATGTTAAAAGACACTATCAAACAAATTTTTTTTTTGGAAAAACTATTCCCAATAAACAAGACGACACTTGATTGTTCATTCTAAGAATGAGCACCTGCATTTTACTGAATATAAGACCACTTATTTTCAGAATTTTAAATTCACCTATCAGGGTAACACCCCAGTCAAAACTTTCCATCTGTCATTTACCTGAACATTTTGTCTCTGTTTTAATTAAGTAATTAATTAAATTTAAGTAATTAAAAAGGTTTGTATTCTAGGATAAATGCAACCCTCTGTATATCTGACACTATATAATCTATACAACAGTCATTGGTTTCCTGCACCTAGAATATTTTTGTTTGCATATACATAAAAGGCACAATCGATTTTTGTTCATTTGTTCGTTTGTTTGTTTTGCCAGAGAACAATGAATTAGGTATAAAGCGTGTGTCACCTTAGTTTAAACAGATCACCAGAGGCAGTCAGAGGGCAATATACGCCTCTTCAAAGCATACACCTAGAAATGTATCTATTGGCTTGAAGATTCATTTTCAAAACCCACCATAGACACAATACCTGTTAGTGCTTTCCCTTTCTTCCTATAGTAAACACCAAAGATGACAGCAGCAACTAATGCCACAGATATGAAGAGAAGCAGACTAATTAAACTGGGCAAGTAAATCTGGGGTTCTGTGTTGGAAGAAAATGAGAAAAATGGCATTAAAGAATGTTTATTTTTACTTTCTCCATTTAAAAACATAACCCTGGGCTTCCCTGGTGGCGCAGTGGTTGAGAGTCCGCCTGCCGATGCAGGGGACACGGGTTCGTGCCCCGGTCCGGGAAGATCCCACATGCCGCGGAGCGGCTGGGCCCGTGAGCCATGGCCGCTGAGCCTGCGCGTCCGAAGCCTGTGCTCCGCAACGGGAGAGGCCACAACAGTGAGAGGTCCACGTAACCACCCCCCCAAAAAAACAACAAAAAAAGCCCAAAAAACTCCATAACCCTTTCAATCAAACCCCAGAATCAAGGGTGTTGGTGTGAAATAAGAACAATAGGAAGGTCCCCGGCCCTGACTGTAGGTTTGTCAGGGAGAGCTCGCGTTCAGAAGGGTGAAATCCACAATGCAAGTCCGGTCCTGCCGGCTGCCATAGCTCTCTCTGAGGGGCCAGCCCAGGACCATATTTAAATGCTTCTACTTTAGAACAACTCTAATAGGGATGAGCACACCATCCATCATCTTTGTTTACCTACAGAACACTTCACTCTCTCTAGGTGGATGGGCCCTGGAGGCAAAAGGAAGCCCCTTATCAAATCTCTTTCCAAATAACAACATGGCACCAGGGTTTTGCTGGTCATGAGAACAGAACCACAGGCATCCTGCAAAGTGTTTCAGGTACTTCATGTACAGCACAATGTGGACTCAACCATTTTTTTCATCCCCCCCTTGATCACTTAAATGCTAGTGCCTTTATATTATAAGCTCTCGGTTTACATGACCTGGTTTCCGGACTCTGGCTTTTCTTCTCCTTTCTTTTTTTTTTTTGGCTGCACTGCTGCTGCACGCGGGCTTTCTCTAGCTGCGGCGAGCGGGGGCTACTCTTCATTGAGGTGTGCGGGTTTCTCATTGCCGTGGCTTCTCTTGTTGCAGAGCTTGGGCTCTAGGTGCACAGGCTTCAGTAGCTGTGGCTCACAGGCTCTAGAGTACAGGCTCAGTAGTTGTGGCACACGGGCTTAGTTGCTCTGTGGCATGTGGGATCTTCCCAGACCAGGGCTTGAACCCTTGTCCCCTGCATTGGCAGAAGGATTCTCAACCACTGCGCCACCAGGGAAGTCCTCTCCTTCTGTCTTTTTTAAGACAATTTTTCATTCCCTCAGTTATTTTGAATGTTCTCTTAATGGTCTTTTTAAAATGCTGCTCTGACTGTGCAATTCCTTATCCAGAATGCTTTGATGTTCTCCTGTTTGCCAAAATGTCAAAGCTAAGGCCTTGATTTTCTTAGTCAATGTCTATCAACCCCATCACTCTGTGGCCTAGGTTCTCTTGCCTCATTAGAAAGGTTTTCTTGCCACTTATGCCTCCTCCTGTGCTGTGATACCGGGACCCACCTTCACAGCCTCTCGCTCACCTGGGTAAGCAGCTTCCGCCATTAACTGTCAACTTTCTGTCAATCATTGAAACTGTACTTGAGATTGATTTGATCCACAGGATGTTCCAGAAATAATGATAACTATCTTCTAACAAGTTGCTAACTCTGGCTGGTGACCAAAATCTCCCATAGGTACCCTACTATGACCACTGTGACCACCACCATCCTATCACATTGGGGCATTTTAATTTATGTTTGCACCTCAGTTTTCTTTTTTGTTTTGGCATATATGAATAAATTACTAGTTATCCATTCCTTTTTTTGGCACATATGAATAAATTACTAGTTATCTATTCCACAGTAGAAAATTATCAAATAAACAACATATCTGGAATTAAAATACTAATAAAAATGAAATACTGAGCTGACTATGGATAGGACGAGATGAAAAGGGAGAAATGGATGCCTCTGGATATAGCATGTAATTCGGGAGAAATCTAGAAGAGCTGACTAGACTGGGGCACATCTACCCAACCAACCTGCTCTATTCAACATACCATTTGGTGGTTTTGTAGGTGGAAGAGAACTACAAACCACATCTGATTTATCGGTCCCATGAAGTGCTTCTGTCTCTCCAAGAATGGTACAGCTGTGAGGGGAAAGGTAGGTAAGTGCTTTGGTTTTATATTCTTATTAAAAAAAAAAAGCTACAAAAGGTTCTATCCCTTTAGATTGCAAGCTCATTCAGGAGAGGAACCAGGTCTTTGTGGATGCTTGAATTGCCAGTGTCTATCCACACATCATTAAGGTGGACAAAGCCAATAGTAACTACTGCCAGTGTTCTCTAAGAACTACTCTGAGAGCATGGTCCAAAACAGAAAAGACTGGTGTCTTCAGTAAAGAAGATTCCAAATTCAATTACCATGGCTAAGTGATAAACTTTGGATGAATACCCTTTCGAAGTTGAAAACACAGAAAATCTTTTCAAAATAAAACTTGGATAAGTGGATCAGAAAATAAATATTTTACGAGAATTCATTTATTGGGAACTAAAAGAATCATGACATTGATTATGAGTATTCAACAACAAGCATGCCATGAAAGGACTCAGGGATTTCACTCTGGATATACTCACATAAGTGTGAGATAGTATATAGAAAAGATAATACATTGCAAACTTAGTTACTACTCCAAAAGACTGCAAACCACTTAAATGACTATCAGTAGAGAGCTTATTAAATAAATTATGGTACATCTCTATGATGACATACTACGTAGCTATAAAAAGCCACAAAGATCTAAGTGAACTAATATGGAATGAGCTTCCTTCAGGATATATTATGCGGAAAAAAAAAACCCCAAGTGTGTAAACATTTATTTAAACAGGAGGCTTCTATTTGCACATACACCACACACACACACACACACACACACACACCTTTGTACAAGTAAACCAGTGATGCTGGGAAGCTGGGAAAAGTGGGACTGGTGAGTGATAATAAGCATCCTAAGTAATTTGCAACTAAATAAGGTTAGAAAAAGGGAAAAAGCAGCTGCAACTATAAGTCAAAGCTTCAGTCAGACTGAATCTAACAAGCAATACACAACTCCTGTCACACATCAGGGGGAAGATTGGCTGCACTGGTTTATGGCCCTCACGCCCAATTGACAGACTTTTTCTGTTGTGAACCTGGCTTCCAGAGGAAGCCTCATCAAACGGAATCAGTCTGTTTTCAAAACAGACGAGACAGCAGAGGCTGAGTTGGGTTTAAAATCAACAAACCCTCTGCGTTCCTTCATTGTCACTTACTTGGTCCAGGGTTTGCACTTTTCTGTAGAGGAAGAGGCGTCAGAGAAGTAGCCGGCGAGGCAGGGCTCGCACACCGTGTCCTTGTTGAGCTGCACTGTCAAAAAGACCAACGGACAAAAGAACACGAGACAAACGAGGACACTTAGAGATCGGCCAGGAGGATGGTCCAGAGGACCAGAGATCAGAAGCGCCCCGCCTGCCTCTTGCATCCCCATTCCTGCCCTCACCACCTGCAGCCGGTGGCTGAAGTCCTCACAGACTTCAGAGGGCCCGAGACCCCACAGCAGGTGACAGCACTGTGTCCAGAGGGGAACTGGCTCACTGTCAGGGTGCCAACGCCAGATCTGAATTAGATCCAGCTCTCTGGTCCGGACCCTCTGCCGGTCAAAGCCACCATCCTGGTCACCGATCCTTTGTTTCCTGGCCAGGGAGCCTGCTATCTGTTTTGTTTTAATCAAGCACCTGTCTGTTCTCCCTGTCTCCCCTCTGGGGCTTACACCAGGCTTTGGGTACAGAGAATGGCAGCCCAGTTACCGCTTTTAAAGGAAACTTCTTGTCTTGACCCTTTCCGATCAATACTCTTACCAGTCTAAGTATCGGAGTGTTGACAAAGTTCTCAAAGCAAAGAAAAAAGAAAAAAAAGAACCAACCTACACTATAGGTCTCTTTCCCCTAAACCGAGGGTTGGTAGTAACAGTTTTCTATAAAGAGCCATACAATAAATATCTTAGGCTTTGCAGGTCTTCTGGTCTCTGCAAATTACTTGCAGTGTGAAAGAAGTCATAGATAATGTGTTAAAAATAAATGGATGGGGCTGTGTTCCAATAACATCCTATTTACACAAACACAAGTGGTGGGATGGATTTTGGACCCCTGCCTTAAGCCATAGCACTGAAAGCAGGAATTGATCCTGGTTAGTAAGCTGTCTTCACCCCTCTCATATTCCACATGAACTACATTATCAAAATAGGAAATGTCTCAGATTTCCTATGCCTATTACCTTTACTGCAATTGACACATGATGACCCTTTGGTAATTCCAGTAAAGAAGGACATTGGCTACCATGTGATATCATAATAAGCAACTGGCTTGTGCCAAAACCACAAATTACTCTTGAAATTAGTAGCACTTCTGTGGTTTATTTTCATGAATAAAACCCTAAAATAAGGAATTATATTTTCTTTGTCCAAAGTCAGGTGGGAAGTACATTCTTGATTTCTCAATTGCCTCAATAAGTAGGGTACCCACCCCTTACTCTAGCAATTTGATTTGCCTTGAAATGATATCAACAAAGGTGCATTTAACATCTAGTCACTCGTATTAATTCAAACAGCTTTTCAAAAGATAAACACCCCCTGGAAGAGTAACCCTTAAAAGCAAAGCGACTTCCTAAAGGGGCTGCAAGGCACGAAGAGCTTGAAGGGACACGACTTTCATGTCTGCTCTTTGTAACACTGACCTGCTGGGGGCATCCTGCACATTCTCCTTTCTCTTTCTTCCTTTCACAATCACACTCCCACTTTATAAAAGAAGGCACACTTCATACCTTCTCCAAATCCTACCACAGTGCCAAGCTTCTGAGATGCCAAACAAAGCAACAAGTCAAAATATTGGTGATGGAAAAAAGCTCCTGCATTCAGAGCACCTCATTACAGCTTCTGTCTTTCCCT